GTTACGTGATCTTGCTGCTGCCACAGGCGTTCCAGAGACTGCTTGCTCTGTTCAAATGACTAAAACGGCGTATTTCAAGAAACACTTTCGTCCATTGAAACCATTCTTAACACCATCTAACATGCACTTCCGAAGCAAATGGGCTCTAAGCCACATACCCTCGGAATTTACTGGAATTTACTGTGCCAGCATGGACAATTATGTCCATGTTGATGAAAAATGGTACTTTCTCAAAGTAACCAGGTGCACATTTTACGGTGTAACTGGTGAAACTCCTCCGCCACGATCCGTGAAAACAAGAACTACATTTTAAAGGTACTGCACCTTGTTTTGCGGCAAAATACATGTCAAACTACAAAATTGATTATGGTACTTTGTGCTGTGGCGAAACCACGATGGGACCACAATAAACAATCGTGGTGGGACGGAAAAATTGGATGCTGGCCGTTTACAGAAATGGTGCCTGCTGCAAGAACCAGCATCATTTCGAGAAAAAGGCACATTGATTACAACATCTGTCGCGGTTACAAGATCTGTCTACAAGAAAATGCTTTTGGACAATGTCATACCAGCGATTAAAAGGCTCTGGCCTATCGGTGAAAGCAAAATGATTAAACTCCAGCAAGACAACGCCGGCCCACACATACCTGTTGACGATGTCGACGTTGTGTCCGCAGGGCATTGTGATGGTTTCAGCATCAATGTCGTTTGCCAGCCTGCCAACTCACCCGATTGCAACGTGCTTGATCTGGGTTTCTTTCGTGCTCTACAAAGTCTTCAAGTGAAGTGCGCCGCAAGAACAATCGACGACATCGTACGGAATGTGCGTGATGCGTGGGATGACGTACCGCATACGACGCTGTTTTCCAACTTTCGCACGCTACAAGTCGTAAAGTTGTAAATTTTGAAGAAGGCGGCGGCAATCAATTCAAGATCCCTCACCTGATGAAATTCAAACTGGAGCGTGTCGGCCGTTTGCCCGAAAACCCCGAGTGCGACCCTGCTGTCGTTGCCGTTGTCCAGGCCATTCGAGGCCCACCTTGCAGTTGTAAGAGCTGACATGGCACGTGCGGAAGATGAAGTCGCCATCTGTTGTGCCATGGAAGAGATGCACATTGTGTCGGAAGATCATACCTGTGTCGAGTTTGATGTCTCCATCATGGAGTCGTTCGATGATCACGTCGCCTTCCAAAATTGAATATGAGTGCTTGATGATAAGTTCAATTTTTAGAGAGGTTTTTCTGTCGTATTTAACTTACTATTACTATGTGACTGTGGCATATAATTTTATGTCGATCTAATTGGCTCTTTGGAAAGTACACGGGAGGAGCTTTGATTGGGTACCTTTTC